CTCTTCTGATCTGAAGACAACTGCTTTGCATCATGAGGAAGTTTCTTTTATTAGTTCTTTGATTATTTCTTCCCATTCATTTTCAGTTCACTCCTTCTGAAACTGCTCTCAGCAGAGATTAGAATCTGTAGATAGTCTATGTTGCTTTTTCTTTCACACTATTTTTTATCTTTTTGCATTATATTCTGGAAAAAAAACTACTCAGCATAATCTTCCAATTTATCAATTTGCTCTTCAAATGTGCCCATTCTGCTCTTCAGGCCACCCATACGATTTTTCATTTTCAACATATCTAATTGGCTCTTTTTTTGAAAAAGTATTCTTTCTACATGAATATGTCATTTTCTCTCACTTCTCCAAAAGGTACCAATCGTACGTTTAAAAGCATTTCTCTTTGTTTCCTTGTTAGAATTTTCTACTTACTGACTTTTGTGCTTCTCTTTAATGAGGTTGATTCTCCTAAAATCTGTATTGATTCTTTTCTGTTGCACATCTTTACATGTGAGAACCCTGACAACCTGTCTATCAATGATATTGTTGTTTATTGCGAGATGCTCCTTTGTGACCACAGCAAAGACAAATTGCTGGGCAGTGTGTGCCAACAGGTAATCTGCTGAGCCTCGGAGCAGACATTAAAGAGAAGGCAAATTCTATAACGTGACAGATATTTGCATTAATCCCCAAGGTCACAAATAAAGTCCTTCAAAATAGAAATGCAGGAGTCCTACCTACCCTAATACCTCATTCACTATACTATAACTGTGTTGCAGATGCTTATCAAAACAAAAACCCAGAGAATATTAAAAATCATGGATCTTTAAAGTTAGAAAGGGCTTTTCAATAATATAATAGTTCAGAACAAAGACTTTGGACTCAAAGATATATCTGAATCCCAAACCTCCTACTCACAAATTGATGACTCTGGACAAGTTACTTAAGTTCTCTAAGCTTCTATTTTCTCAAGTATAAAATGGGGATAGCAATACCAGCATAGAATTTTTTTAAGATCTCAACAAAATGAGCAAATGATATCTTCTGAAACTAGGATTTCTCTGTCATTTTAACCCCTTTTGTAAACATCTTCTCTATTTTGTACAGAAAATTAACATGAATTTCCTCCTACACAAAATGTGTTTTTCCAATTTCACATCATCCTGTCTAAATCAATTACTTCTCCACTCTTAATCCCTTTAAACAGCAAGCACTCTTGACTGTGTCCTTCTCGTCAGATTTAAAAAAACCAAACTAAAGGCCAACCAGAGAGGTTATTTGACTTTACAAAGGTCATAGAGCTAGTTAACAACAAAGCCAAGATTTGACCCTGATTCCTAGTGCAGTGTTCTTTCCACCTCATTATGTCTTAAAAATACAATGCTAACCATAATCTCACCTGAGGTTTGTAGTCTTTTAAATTCATTTATGCATACTTATGATGGTAAAACACTGTACAGTTAAAACAAATAACTGTAAAGTTATTTTGAAGTATTTACCTTTCTACATGCAGGGCAAAGCCCATTTTCATCAGTGCGAATTCGATGCCAACAAAATCGGCAAATCTGGTAGCCACAGGTGCAAGGGAAAAAGTTGATATCATCAATTTCCAGGGGCTCCATGCAAAGAGGGCATTCCACAGGGTCTTCCTTCGCATCAGGACTGCGAGACATCTTCACGTTTATTAAACAGCAGCAAAAATTTATAATAATTTAAGGGAGAAGGAAGTTCAGCACTGTGAGCTAAAATGTAGAAGTTTGAAGACCTGTATGAGAAGAAACAAACACACTGTTTACTACTGGAAAAAAATTGCCTAGTCAACAATCAAGAGTCACATTATCAAAAACTTTTAAAAATACTGACTGAGCAACTATTGTTACTGCCTTAGAGTGGATTTCAGAATGGAGTTCTTAAAATTTTTGTACATCAAGATAAACAGCCTGGCATCATTAATATTTTACATTCAACACAAATACAAAAGAAGTTCCTTTTTTTCTATATAAAACATTTAGTATTAACCTATAGCACTAATCATACATATTTTAAGGGAATATATAAGGTAAAGAAGCATCTTCAGCCTCAAAACAGCACTCTGAACTGTCTCATCGGCCAGGGGCGGTGGCT